TGTTGGGACACAATGGAGCAAGGAAGCACGTTGTCCTCTGCATTCACCACCTTGGTGTTGCTAAACAAACCAGGAATTCCCTGTACCTGTGTTTGTGGTGACATGTGATGCTGAAACTCTGAGGGGGAGGGGGGAGGAAGCAATCTAACCTAACAAGAAAAAGTAGATTAAACCTCTGGGTTATTATTCATACAGCAGCCCTGAGGAATGGGATAGTAATTTAGCAAAGCTGGAGGCAAAGCTGAAGCAGAAACCAGGCAAGAAACAGTTCTCTCACTCCTGAATGGCTGGGTAAATTTAAGTGATTGGTGTACATTATGTGCAAACTGGATCAATATGTGTGATCAATTTGTGTGTGTTCGTAGAGGCAAAATGACTTGAAGAGGAGGCTCTAAGATGTGAATTGGCAATGTGACACCCATTTCATTGATTAGAGCTGGGGAATAAGTGCCCTGTTCAAAAATGGCTTGAGAAAGTAGAAAGCCAGAGCAGGTGCTACTTCCAGCGTTTTGCCTCTGGTGGCCATTTGGGGTGGTTTGGGACATTCTGGAAGAATGTTAAATTTGACTTCTGGCTTTAAAAAGCTGCCAGCCTCTGCTCTAGTGAATAGTGTGGGACTATTAAAGATAAAAGAAAATTTGAAAGTCATGATGGCATATATCAGTCTAAATTGAAGCCATATGATTCCACATGTTGATAGGTTCATGCACACATAACCTTACAGATGTAGAACACCAGTGGTGAGCTAATTATAGTTTCAGCCCTGGTTAAAAACAGGTGATGCATCCTCCATTGTGTTAATGAAATGTGTCATAGAATTTTTATTTCATCCATCTCCATGTATTGTGACCTGAAGTCAGAAGTCAAATTCCTAGAAATCAAAATGTTCCTCTATTCATAATTGCCATTTTAATGTCTAGTTTGTGACTGTTCATTTTATGCACAAGCCTTATTTGTCCCATATAAACCCGGTACAGTTGATATGGACTCTACATATATTTTGGTCTACAATTCTCATGATCCTTCACTATTGGCTATGCTGGCTAGAGCTGGTGGAAGATTTACACCAAATCATATGGAAGGTCACAAGTTGCCTTTCTCTGATGGAGACTGCGAAAAGTAATGTTGACAAGGAATAGCACACTGGGAAATGTGCAGGCAAGTGAACTCTGGACAGTGTTCCTGATTCTTGGGTCTGTAAGAGCTTGTGGATACAGTAATAATATAGAGGTGTTTTAGTAGACTCTGTGACAGCTGAGTTTTTCAGCAACTGGACTGCTGTGACTTAGCTCCAGTTAATGCTGTTCTAGAAACATGGTTGTCTTGATAGAATATGCTGCCATGCTCTCTTTTTCTATCAGGTGCAGCATTAGTATGCATTATGGCATGAACTGAACAGCATAGCTGTTGACACTTTTTAAAGCAGTTTTTAAGGCTTCTTATTCCTTGACTGTAATCAGCAATCCACATATCGGCTCTCTGCCTTACCAGGGATGAGTTCTCTTCACCCTTTATCAGAATGAAGACACAGTAGCACACCATGCCAGACCTGAGCTCTTACTTGTGCTAAGGTCTGGAGCTAATAAAAAACAGCAGGAGTCTCTCTCCCTGTTTCTTGGCATCTGCATTCCCTAGCAAAAATTAGGCAAATCTCCATCTCTCCCTTCAAGCACTCTGCATATGTTAGAAATGAATTTATGGACCCCTGCAATGATGCTGAGAATGGTTTAAGCAAGCAAAACAGCCATTCTGTCAAACTGATAGGCTAGATTTGTCCAAGATAGTAAATTCCCCCTCCTCAAAGATGCTTGCTCTGAAAGCATTAAATATTTGCAATTTTTGAGCTGTCTGCATTTGTGGCATTTGGTGAGTATTACTTCCAATGAGTAATGAAAGCCACAGGAGCAACTCTTTCTGTTTGGATGTCTGAGCAGGCAGAGGAAGGATTTTGTTATGCTCTGGCGCTTAGCATTCAGACACCACAGCTGTCATGCGGCTCATCAACAGCAATAGCACAGATATGGTGAGGAGGAATGACACAAAGTGTACTGTGTAACTTAATAAATAGTTTCACATACAGATTCTTTGCCACATTGATTGAAGTGACTTCAGAACAAATGTAATGAAGGCACAAAGAACCATCTAGTTATACTTTCCTTTCTCTCTTAGCTGTCATTCCAGCAGGGATGAAAAGCCTGTGGGCTAAAGTACCCAGAGGGTTACACTTTCATGCTGTTTCACCACAGCCTAATGAAGTTTTGGTTTACTTGTGCAGGGACGTATGTGTCTTCCACTGGTACTGGAGAAGCAAAATTCAATGTACTTGCTATCACGTGTCCGATACATTTGTACTTAGAAGTTGATTAAATATATTGCGTTTATTCAGACAGGAGGAATGTACAATTTAGGATTTGTTGTTGTTCAGTTGCAAAGTCAAGCCTGACTCTTTGTGACCCCATGGGACAGCATTCCTCCAGGTTCTCCGATTGTCCACCATCCCTCGGAGTCCACCCAAACCCACACCCACCTCTCCAGTGACCTCATCCAGCATCAGGGTCTTCTCCAGGGAGTCCTTCCTTCTCATGAGGTGGCCAAAGTATTTGAGCTTCAGCTTTAGTACCTGCCCTTCTAAAGAGCAGTCAGGGTTGATCTCTAGGATTGTCTGGTTTGATCTCTTTGCAAAATTTTAGGGTAGCCTTGTATAAAAGTAAATGTTGTTCAGAGCTTGGTTGTACACCAATAGAGCAATCTGTTGCAGACAAGGGATTACATTAAAAATGTTAAAGGGGAGCAGGAGCTTTTAGTTCAGATGAGGTTTTAAAAAATGGTACTGTCAAGATAGGATAGAGCTAATAACTTGAAACATGGTAACCAGGATACAGCTGATTACTTGCACAATTGAACAGTGTTTCAAAATCAGTCTGATTTGGCCACAAGTACAGCAGCTAAAAAACTAATTGACATGTTTGTACTCTTTACTCCAAACTGTGGCTCTACATGTAACATGTTGCTTTCCAGTGCTGGCAAAAACTACTAATGTGTAATATTCTGACTTGTTTAGCAGGCTCACCTTGCATTTGTTTGGTAAAATTGTGAACAAGTGTTCAAAGTTATTAAGAATTTTCTGCTCTTTGTACCCATGTGGCTGCAGCTTCTGGCAGGACAACTTCAGGCATGCTCACTTTCAGTGTGAAACGAGAATATTGGCTTGGTCCAGTGATTTCTGCTTGAATTCTATTGCAGAAGATTGCAAAATGCTAAGATAGATTGATTAGATAGATAGATAAACTTTATTGTGGTCAAAGACCAGCTCCATTCAATAAATACATAGATTTAAAAAAGTACATAAAACATTATCTGTATTAAAACCCCACTTGGATTAATAAATGCTTCAACACAATATCAGTCCTCTTAAATCAGCGACAATCCCAGACCTTGTCCTTGTCCAACTAGGTTTTTGATGTGAGATCATGCTCCATAACTCAAAGGCAAGACTGCACATTCCTACAAAGACAGGAAACCTAGCATGGGTTGGTCACAAGGCTTCAAGCTTTTGCCACCACTTTGTGCTCCCCATCTGTCTCCAGCTTACATTGCCAAAATGGCATCCTTTGGTAAGGTAAATTGCAGATGTTAAAGCTTATCCCCACCACTCTAGGATCCTGCTCCATATTATTCCCTGAACTTTCTTTTGAGCAAGAAATAATATCCTAGCTGTATCTTTAGCATGCACAGAATGTATCTCTTTGTTGGGTATCCGTTGGTGAATAAAGAGCAAAGCAGTAAGGCTTAGATGCTTCATACGGGAAGGGAGGACCAGGACAATGCAAACAGCAGTTCTGAGGCACTACATCCTCCCCATCTGGATGTGGGCCAAGGAAAAATGCAAGTGCTCGGAGGGTGAGTTATAAGCAGGCATAATGCCTGACATGGCCAAGCATCACTGATCAGAGTTGGGCACATCATCTAAAGCATCAGCTTTCAATTTCCTGGCTTTACAGAGCATGAACCAAGATGAGATAGCCTGCTCTTAAACTGGCAGGTTTTTATCATTGATTTTTATTGCACTTGTTTTAAAAATCAAGAGACTATATATCAATTCATATAAAAACTTTTTAAAAAAAGACCACAAAGTTTCTGGTCTGCATGTGTAGTTTATTAGTCATCAAGGGTTGGTGTTCTAACCTAAGACTGTCAGTTCTGGATTGTGTGTGTACAGAGTGTGTACTCATGTGTGTACAGAGCTGGATTCATATAATTTATATCAGAGTTAATATAAATAAATTATATTCATCTGAATTTATATAATTTAAGGTGGGCAGATGTTCTGTAACTTTAATATTGAACTCCCTCTTCCTAACTCATTGCATATAACAATAACCTGTTACTAAAAATGCTTCCATAAATATAAAAAAACTGATATAAACCACTCATGCAAAGGTAGAAGTTGGATGAAATAGCATTAGCCCTACTCTGTATAACGACCATTTTTATTATGCAAAATTAGTCTGTTATAAATGAGTATGACTATGCCTGTTGCTATAATTATGTCACTTTAGGCTTCAGGCTTAGATAGGCATGTAAAAAGAGAGGCCTTTTTTCCGCATCTCAGTTAATTGAGGCATTTAGATTACATGAAATGCTAGATTCACTTTCTTGCGTTGAGTGAGTGCCTCATGTGATGTCATACAGATTAAATGCAAGAGGTTCTATAGAGAGCTGAAATCGTGACCCAGTGCCATGCAGCAGCTTGAAAGCCAAGGAATACATTTGTTCTGTCCTACCTGAAGGTATTTGTTTTGGCCAAGTACTTACATAAAGTGCTTTTTTGCTCAGCCTGTAGATACTTTTTGAAAACAGAATGTGCAAACAATTTTTGAATGACAAGTTGCAGTGTTACTAATTGCCATGAGTGATTTGGTTTTAAAGCAATCTTTCTTCAGTGCATTCTGTGAAGATGAAGAACTAACTTTCCTCTCCCTTGCTTTGTTTAAATGCAGAACTATGGATTGGAAACTGAAAACCTGAAAACACTTTCTCACAAGCTAAATGCATCTGCCAAAAATCTTCAGAACTTTATCACAGGAAGGAGGAGGAGTGGTCACTACGATGGTAGAACAAGCAGAAAATTACCGAATGATTTCCTTACCTCAGTGGTGGATCTGATTGGAGCAGCAAAAAGTCTCCTTGCTTGGCTGGACAGGTATACCTTTTGCCACTTTTATGGATAACCGCTTAGATGTCTACATTAGTACACATGGGCACATGCAATATGTTAGAACTTTGCTTTACATTTTAGCTTCAAGTTAAATTGGTCTGCTTTTCAAACAGAGGAAAAAACCCTATTGCAACATTGGTCTCAACATTGGGTAAAGATAGCCAACATTATGTTAGAAGTTTGAACACAAATTCTCTGCCCTGTGGAGACATGATGGATCAGTGTCACTGCATGGTAGACAGGCTTCAGGGTGCACTTAAGGCCCCTATGACAATCATGCAAAAATAATTCTTGCACATTTTTTTTAAAATACCAGGTCTATTAATTACTCGGTTGTGATCTGAGCATTAATCAGAAAGCACAAGCCAGAAGGAAAGGGGTTGCAAGGCTGAGAATTGTAGGTGCTGCATTGGATACAGTGTTAAAAGAGGACAATGTCTTGGGTATTACCAACACTTTGGAGATTATATAGCCTGCCCTCTCCCACAAGTTAAATCCCATTTTCACATGGTACAAATGCATTTTTATCTAGTCTTTTTCTGAGTGCAGTCAGAGAAAGACTAGGAAAAAAGTGCAGTGCTCTTCAAAATACACAAATATTGTACGCAGCTGCCTTGGTCTATTTGGAAAATGTAAAAGCCCCAGCAAGGTTATTACTTACTGTGTTTGGTTGGTGTTAGAACTGTTGAGAGCCAGTGTGGTGTAGTGGTTAAGAGCATGGGACTGGGACTTAGACGATCTGGGTTCTAGTTCCCACTCAGCCATGGTGCCAACTGGGTGACTTTGGGCCAGTCACAGACTCTCAGCCCAACCTACTCAAAGGGTTGTTGTGGGGATAAGATGGAAGAGGAGAATGATGTAAGCTGCCCTGAGCCCTTTGTAGGATATAAAAATCGGGGCGGGGGGGGGACCCAAAATGTTACAAAGCACTATTAATCATGGTGTGAAAAGTTTCATTAAAATGTCACTAAGTACTATAAAAATACTATGGATAAATGTGTTTCAGTAAAGACTGAACTTTCTAATCTGATGTTGTAATTAAGTTGCAGTTAAATGCACACTATCATGAAAATGGTTTGTGTATAAGATAATATTACAATAAAACAATCTTTTATTTAACAAATTCTCATATTTTTTGTAGATCACCTTTTGCTGCTGTGACAGATTATTCTGTAACAAGAAATAATGTCATACAGCTCTGTCTTGAATTAACAACAATTGTACAGCAGGTATGGGACTATATACATATGCTTTTTATTTTAAAAAATCTATGTAAACATTTCCATTTAGATTTATGATTAAAACTATATTTACCTAATGACTAAGCAGTCTGCATTGCAACTTCCTATTTTTATTCTACTTAATTTTGTGTTCTTTACATGCAATGGAAGGAAAATAATTGCTGTCACTTGATAGCACACCTAAAGAAGAAACAACCTCACTAACAGGTTAAAACTAATATACAAGAATATAAGCTGATTTCTATCTATTAAAAGTAAGCAAGGCTAAAGTTGAAATAGATCGACTATACTTATTTGAACAATAATTGTTTTGCCTCATTCTGTCTTTTGTTGGTATCTCAGTTTTACTAATATCCTTTAGGCAAGTATGAAAACTGCTTTTGCATCTGCAAAGCTGACTACTGCATAATTGGGATACATTTCCTACAAGGAATGTAGAGTTATTTGAGCATGTATTTATATTATCATACAAAGAACACCCAATTTATACAGGCCTCTTACAGTACTCCCTGTGGCCCAATCTTTTACATTTTGCTTATCTGAGGTGCTAATGTTAAAGATGTATGCTGATGTTTATTGTTTACATTTAGGAGTGTTATGAAACTGATTAGGGAGGATTATACCACATCCAAATTTGAACTTGCTTTTGAAGGTCTCAAGTAAGCATAGCTGTGTTTACATTACAGGATTTGAAACTGATGACAGGCTGTACCTAAAGCACTGCTTGTTGGCTGATTACAATGCAGTTTCCCTGGAGAAGATTAAATGACACTTCTGCAGTAGCTCTTGCAGAGTTATGTTTGAAAACCTGTATATGTAAAAATTGTGATTGGATTTCTTTGGCAGATGCCTTGGTTTCTTCAGTTTACTGTGTGCATAAAAATGTTGGTGGTTTGAGGCTTCTCAGCCATATTTATTTTTACTTAATAATGGCAAAATTAAACCCTTATTCAGGTTTTGGATCCAACACCCATGTTGCAAATAATTGCTCAATGATCATAAAACATTTAATAAGACACCATTCATATCTCTGCAGTTTGAATTATGCTTATTTCGACATGCAAGTCATTACTGGCGTCTGTGGATAGTAGTTTGTTTTTGTCTTAAGGATGTATTAAACTTGTGTACATCCTTTTTGAAAAACATTGTGTGCAATCCTATGCATGGTTAGGCAGAAAGAATCCTAAAACTTTCAGCATCCAGAGCCAGCATGGCTAGCTGGCACATGTAAATCCAATCATAGATATTTTTGTGAGAATGATCAATAAAATATATTCTATATAAAGACTATGTGTTCTAGTATACATGTGCTGAACCACACGATTGTTAAATGTGGAAGTCTCAGTGTACTGTGAACCATATGGTGAATTAGGTTTACCTGTAGGAGACAGCAAGTAGAAAAGAAATAATTTTTAGCGTGTTGGTTTTATTTCATGTTATAGAACTTCCAGAGTTTGGTCTTTGAATCTCAATGCAGAACTCATCTTGACTGCCTAGGTTTGTTGACTGACTTATCTACTTTTTGTGCCAAATTGTTGATCAGGGGTTTGGGAACTTTAGACTGAGCAAATTTCTATTCATGCCATTTGCCAAAGGTCCTTGCATACATTGCCTTGGGTGGAGAGACGCGGCTTTGCACTTTCAGGTTCTATGTGTACTTTTTGAAAAGCAGCATATATCAAAACCTGATTAGTTTCCACCCTGGTATAAGCATTAAGCATAGAACTGTATGTCCTAAGTCTGTCTCCCTGGCAACAAGAGCCCTTTCACTAGTTATGTAATGAATTATGTGTATAGTCAAGATCTTTTCATAACTTAGGAGTTTGGAATTTTTTATTCCATTTGTACCAAAGTTAAGGCTTCCAGTAGGTTATTTGGCTTACAGTGCTTATTAGTGCCTTCTTATACTTCAGGTGGAAGGAGAATATTGCCCCAGGAGACAGCTGTGTGGGCATCTTTACCTTCTTTCTAGAAGTTGCGCCTGTCATTTTTGTAGCTTAGGCATTAGTCCTCCACCTTTACATTTCCCGTGGGTGTGAGTGCTTTCAGTTCTTCTCCACATATTAGATGAAAGATATATAATAATCATTGTAGTGCATTCCAGTACAGTTTCTCACTAATTTATTCAAATTTAAAGATGACTGATGGTAGTAGAACATGGAAAAAGCTGGAAACAAATGAGGAAAAAGGAGGTGACTAAGCCCTGGGACAGCTGTGGGAAAAGGTATCTTTGCCAGATGCAAAGCTCAGAATGATACTAAGATGTGAGAAGAAGATGTGACTACACTGCAGTTTTATTATGAGTCAGTGCTAAATTGAGGTTGACTTACCTTTCAGGGTTCTGTACTAAAATATTTTGAAAGTTGGGTAAACTACAGCAAACTTGTATTTTTGATCCAAAGAACCATGCATTCTATGGGTATTTCCCCTCTTATACTGTAGATTCTTAAATGCTGTATCCAGCCCTTCTTCTAAAGAGTGGGGTGGGATCCTTATAGTATATGAGTAATGCCTGTCGCTGATGCTGATCAAGTGGCATCCATTCCACTTCTCCTGCTGGGAGGCTGGAGCATTGTAGGCAAGATCCATTGGGGTGCTGTGCTCCTGTTGCTCATGTTGCGCCAGCAAGACCGAGCACTTGCGCAGTCAGTTAGCAGTTCTAAGAATAATCCTGGAGGTCCTTGCTTCCAGGTCAGGTCAGGTCAGGTCAGGTCAGTAGAGCTCTCTTCTGAGCACTCTGCTCACCTGTCCCATTTAGAAGAGAGCGTCTTCTCTAATTCCAGGTTGCTTTTAGAACCACTAACTCTTTGCTGTGCTAGGGGTCAGTCTGGCTGGCCTAAAGGCACAATAATGGACTGCCCTCCAGTAAGAATAAGTAAATAGGCATGTATTTCAGTGACCGCCCTTTCAGTGACGACTGCCCTTCCAAAGAAACATGCTTGGCTCTGCTCACGAAGCAGGAAAATAATACAACCGAGAGAAGCATTTTCTTTGATTTCTCTGTCTAGGACAAGGGTACAAGTAACATTTGGCTGGGCTACTAGTTGCATCCAAAATTAACAAAAATTGTAAAAATCCAAAATGTGAGAGACAGAAGGACTATGCTGCACCCCTCTAGCCATGCCATGCACCCCCACCCTCCCAGGCAGACCAGATTGGCTCAGGTTGCTCCTGCACAGCATGCAAACTTAAGCATTTCTCCGCAGACGTGTGCTTGCAGGCTACCACTGTCACGTTAAAAAAAGTGATGGGTGGCCCTGGAGGACCTTAGGCAATTCTCCAGTGGCCGGGCCCACTTGCCTCCCTGCCATGCCCTACCATTGTATCAAACATCTTTTGAGTATTCAAAATATCATGTTCAGATAAATTCCCAAGATAACATAGGTTTAAACGTAAAAGCTATAATCAAGAAGTACATAGCATATCACTGTTTCCACAAGTACTGGGATTTTCATGATTCTTCCCTAGATTTAAGACACCAAATATGGATGCTTGTGGTTTTTTATGCTTTATTCAACACTTTCCTTTCTGAGTTATTTATGCTAGCAACATTCTTCATTTTCTTTGAAGGTATGTAGTTACCATAGTTACTCAGATCACCGTTGCTAAACTACTGAATCTGAAGCAGTAGTATTTGTGTTTAAGGTGCTATCTTAATTTAGTTCAGTTGCAAGTATATTGCATTTAAGTGTAGAAGAATCTTGGGAAAAATTACTTCAATCAAAGTTTAAATAATAAAGGTGAAAGTCCACCATAGTTGTGAACCTCTGAGTTGATGACTGAAATAATCCAAATATCTAAATCTGAATTAAAATCAGCACCTTTCATAATTTATTTCATACCAGGTATTTATGATTGTGCATAAGAATGACCAGTAGATAATACAGTACATACATAATGTATTTATAATGATAACAGTTCAGTACTATGACTTATTATACTGGCATGATATATTATTCCTGCTGCAAGTATATTAATTTTTTACAGGCTGATGGTTCACATATAATGACAATCTAGGGTTTCCAAGTCACTCGCATGTTGTCTTTCCTTTCTGAGTTGGGTTTTCAGCAGCTTCAATTGCCTTGCCATTGCTACGGCTTTGTGAGAAGTTTGTATTAACTTCATTCTTTCAGGAAAGCCTTTGTCTAGGAATCTAAGCACCAACCAATTTGGAAGTGAGTTCTTTTTACCAGCTAACTTGCATTGTTCAGTCTGTTCATACAAGGCTGTACAAATGATTAGGTGGTATGTCCAAACTTCAGAACTCTTTCATAGAAGCAGGCCATCTCATAAACCACATCACTCTTGAGGGTGAAAAGAGCATGGTGTCTGGGAAGACCGCTCTCACAATTGCTCTTGTAACACTCTTCAAAAGGTGAAGGAGCTATTTATTTAGTTCCTTGCTACATTCCTGCACTGTCTTTCTAGAGGCAATGTGAAAGCAGAAATCATGAATGTAATGACAATGATGGCATACTACAGAGCTAAAAACAGCCTTAAAAACCACAAGATCAAAAAGGTCAAAGCTGTGTGTTGATCTTCTTACTTTAATGCAGCGGGCAGGGTGGGGGTGGGGACCTGCTGTAACTCCAGTGGAGAACAATTGCAGCTCCAGTGGGAATTTCTTCCAGACCTGACCATGCCTTCTGGAGCTCTGTGGCCAGCTGAAAACATTTCTGCACATACTTTGGAGCTCATAATACCCTCCGAGTTGGGTATACAACAAAAGAAAAAGCAGCACTGATTAGTAGTAAACCATAAAAAATAATTAGTTTGCATTATTTCATAATCTTAAGTGCTTAGATTTAGTGAAATTCTCTGTACTTGAATAGAATATTTGGAGTAAGAGTGAGCAGAAAGAAAATATGATGGTTAATGCAGATCTGGGTAGAGAAGTAATGTCTTTGTTTCACAGAGTTTTGATGGTTATGATGATGTGTGGGAGTAATGCAGCTTGGCTGTGGGTGACTATTCATGTTCTTTTTCCT